TACTCCGTCGCGCTGTCCCGTCGCGACGGCCACAACCGTATGTTGGAGACAAAGTGTTACTGTTCCTTGAAAGAAAAATATCGCGTGCATATTCATACACTAGAAATAGAAGTTTGAAAGTTTGTCGATGACAACAATCCAAATTTATTACTGTCTTATAAGACATGAGGAAGGCACAACAGCTTTTCGCGACCTTCTTTTTTCGCAATGTTTGGTTTACCACGACAGGCTTCCTAGATGCGTATGCTACGACGGCTATGATGTACTTCGCATGACAAGTTCACATTGCAGCAAACGACCAAATTGTCGCTTGCTAGAAAGGGTCGAGACATCAAAACAAACCTGCGGTGATGAGATTTAGGACAAACTACGGCCGCTCTGCCACTTTCCGCGTGAAATCAGGATATAAAGAAAGGTAGCCGATGCCTTGCATTCCTTGAAGTATGCGCGGGTAAGAAGCATCGAGAGCTAATTGCATCTGAAGCGGCGACCAAGGGCGCAGCCATATTGCCAGAAATCGCCACGCTGGCTTCCGGGCAACAAGCGATCTTTTCTGGTTCCCAGAAATGCGTGACGCCACAAGCGCCTGTGACGGACGGGCCTCCGCGACAGCAAGTGTCGCCGTCAATGTCGTTTGTCGCTGTCGCGAGGAAATCGCGTGCATGCGGTTAGGGCTTTACGGCTTTAGAACGTGTGAGGCGGCAGCGGCATTGCTTCTAGCCATAAAGCAAGGAGCACTAAGGCACAAATATTATAGACATGTGGGATATTGGAGAGGGGAACGACAACGGCTTTTCTTGAGGAGCGCGCGATTGTAGCGGCATTGAAAGTATATAGATGCCGTCGGTGAATAAAAAAGGCGCGGCCGCACAGTTTCTCACACAGTCCCCAGGAATTGGCGTTCACACTCTTGCAGATTTGTCCCTCACTCTTGTTGAATATCTACCCAAAAATCATAAATCAAACACTTGTGTGCTTTGCCCAAACTTTGCAAGCCTAGGTCACTTGCTGTAGCGTTGTCCTGGGTTACGGATTGACGAATACATCCAAGAGGAATTCTGCGCCTCCGCAATAATGATTTATAGGCACAAGTATATTGAATAAGCAATAACTTTGTATCTTCAATGAATAATAGTGTGAATTGAACGGAACTATGGGCAGGACAACAGGCCTAGGATGTGGCAGACAAGCTAGGCTTATCTTTTCCGACGTGGTAGCATCCTGCTGCATGCTTCATCATGGCCCGGTGGTCCTAAATAAAGTTTTTCCATACCACGTGTTTTGAGGGCGAAGTAGAACACACGTCAAACGAAAAAAGTTTATGTACCTATAGCACATGCAAGTTTATGGTAATGATGCCTTAGTTCCAGATAGAAAGACGGTGATGTTAAACAGCTTTTCTGTTATAACACGGTTTTCATGAGAAGCGGTGCCGTGGCACAATGAAGTTATTAGAAAATTGTGCGACAATTCCTTCCTTCTACTGAAGGTATCGCATAATAGGGCGCTAACTGGTGAGATGGTGTTAAGAACTTGGCCTGACGCCAACAGTGCTGCGGCGGCCGCAAGAGCGGTCACAGCTTTTTTACCAGCCACTGGTCTCGAGGTGCGGCTGTGACCGTGCGCCAACCTGAAGAGGGCTTTACATGCTAAGCTGGTAGATCTTCTTTTTCTGCCATGCACTTATTGCTGCTCATCATACCCAAGAAAGGTACCGGCTGCACTCGCAATAGCGGTAAACTGATCGTTGGAGCGTATGCAGAAGTGAGGGGGCTTTTTAGTGTTTTGTATGCATAAACAATCGACACCTTTGAGAATTATGCGCGCAAACCATCGCACAAGTCAGGGGTAATTACCAATACATGAAAAAGGCTGTTTCGTACTGCACTTAAAAATTTGGTCGTTATAATTGAGAAATCACTACGTACATTTCCTCTGCATTCATACACGCACCTGGAAGTCCAGAATAGCTCTCTTGGCACTGCAACAGTTAGGAAAAGCTTGCAATCGGTAGCGTGGCCCTAAATAATGCCTCCACTAAAAACTTCAAGTACGAAGTCCAAATTGTTCGTTTCTTAGAGGAGGCAGCGAGCAGCCAGCTGCCGCAGATATATTCAAAAAAGCCGGCTGAATGCTTCACCCGCACCCATCAAAGAATAAATAGCCTCACTGCCACTCTTCAATCGTGAAGATTCTTTCAAACGGGCTTTCATATTCAGTGAGTAGCTTCAATGACTCGATGTGGTCTTTCAGGGGAGCTGCAAAGGGATTGAAAAAAAGGTCATATATATAGTACAAGTTTACACATGCGCATTCAGTGTAGCATTTGTTGATGCTTCTGTGTTTAGGATAAGCAGTGGCGATACAGTACAAAGGTTTCAAGTCCAAAACACAAATTCGCGGCCGACGTCCACAGGTGCAGCATGAAAAGTTTATTGCGTTGTTTAACGTTCCTTCTGAGCCTTTCTTATTCGACGATTCCTTTCGTCCTGTGTTTGTTTTCTTTTTGTCCACTGGGTAGGTTTAGTGGTTAAGGTGTTCGGCTGGTGACCCAATAGTTATGCATTACAACGCCTTCTTCATTTCTCTCAATGCCAGTGCAAAGGCGCGCGTATAAACGGAAGCCGTCGTTCCACCTTAATTCAGGTAATGGTCATGATGTGACGGTGCATGAGAGGTCGCTGCATGCGCCACACGCGCTTCCGAGTGCGTTTCCTCGGAGATGTGATATGCGTGTTTCCCGCCACATTATAATACGTCTGCCAGATTTTTTCCTTCGTGCTCCTTTTTTGAGGCTCGAAGCAGCACTGCGCCTTGATGCTCGAAGCATCAAGGCGCAGCGCCTGACAGTGGCGTTGCAGTGACACTTCCCCATTGTTTGCCCACATCGCGCCATGATCGACGTCACGCTAACCGAAAAGACCGTATCTTTTATAGAACCAGCCGGACCGCCAACATAGTGAACAGGAGGAATGCAAGACGCACCCCACGGATCTGTACATAACTGAACGAAACGAAAAATTATTTCGCACGATTTCCGTCGTGAAGCACAGCGCGAGGGTCTTCCCTCCCTATTGACATCAAAGCACACACGAAGGCTAGGCAATGGGTGAGAGCAGGCGAGGGGCTAGAGAAGAAGATGGTGAACGGCTGGATCGGGCGCATCTTGCTTACATTGATGAAATGAAGAGGCGCTGCGCATTCGATCCCGGCCGCAATTTGGTGGAGCCGAATTGCTAGAGGCCCGTGTTATGTAGAAAATCAGCGCATGTTAAAGAACACCTGATTATCAAATTTTTCTAGGTTGTTCACTACGACGTTATCATAACGAAATCGTGCTTTTTGTGGTGTGAAACTCCATAAAATAGTATGTCTATTTTATTTTTGCTTCTGCTTGTCTGGGGGAAAGTGCAATTCATTTTGACCAAACTGTGTGGTGGGACGGGACATGAAGGAAGAAGTTACAGAAACAAGCACAGAATAAATACTGGTTTTTCAAGAATAAAAACAGCATTGCAGGTTGAACCACCCAGGCATCATAATCCTAACTTAACGAAGAGGAGGCAGCAAGCCGAGGGGACGGACAATGATCGACCCGCATACCACGAGAAGCGTAAATGTACAAGGAACCAAGCCAAACAATAATATTAACCTCAACTCTTGCTGTACACATGAATGCGTAGGTCAGTAAAGCTACAGTCATTTTTTTTGTGATGACGATTTTGTCTGCAATACCTTTTCGTTTTTCATGCTATGTGAGGATAGATCAGGCTTGCTTTAACAATGAATTGTTGATAGAACGGTGATAGAACTGCAATTAAAATGTGGAATGACTTGCCGGTGTCTCTAAGTTGAACATAATGATTTGGTCAAAATTTGAACAGACCTTGGATGACTATCTGTACAAGTGTAGTGTTTGATCTTGATCTAACCTATATTTGTGTATGTGATAATGACCTTCTCTTTTCACTTTACTTGTCTCAAGTTACCCTCTCTGTAGGGACATTTGCAAGAGAGGTGAGGGTATTGTTAAATAATAATAATAATAATAATAATAATAATAATAATAATAATAATAATAATAATAATAATAATAATAATAATAATAATAATAATAATAATAATAATAATAATAATAATAATAATAATAATAATAATATTATTATTATTATTATTATTATTATTATTATTATTATTATTATATTATTATTATTATTATTATTATTATTATTATATTATTATTATTATTATTATTATTATATTATTATTATTATTATTATTATTATTATTATTATTATTATTATTAGGAAAACCACACTCTGGCTGATTCAGTATGAACGAGCTACTAGGTTGGACGCATGGCTCCCTGCACTGGCCTAAATACCCAGAGAGCCAATCGGGCCTAGCCCTTGAAATGTGTTTTCCACACCTTTGCAAGGGCACAACACACCATACTGTTCCCTTTGTTGAGCTGCGTGACCCCTGTAGCGAAGGTCGTGGGTTCGACCGAACACGGAAATTGCATTTGGATGAAGGGTAATGGTAAAGGTGCTTGTCATGTGCCATGTCAGCACACAATAAAGAACAGCAGATGATCGAAATTTCCGAAGCACTCCACTACCACGTCTCTTATAATCGAAACGTAGTTTTGAGTGGTAAAAACCTCAGATAATATTACATGGTATGTTCTATTCTCCGTCTCTTTGCCCGTGCCAGAAATCAAGCTGTATGGAACTCTTTGCTAGGGGTGTACAACCAGCAGTCTTTTTAACCAAGCTCAAATATAACATACATTTCCCTCACAATCTGCAAATGCCTTCTCAGCCCTACCTTGAGAGAAATATAAAGTCGCCTTGAAAGCAAGATTTTACTTGGTAGGCTTTTACATTTTCGTAAAGAGCAACAATAAACGCTGTAGTTTATTTGCAGCTACGCTGCGCGGCATGAGTTTTCTTTTAATTGAGAAAACGTCAACTTGCAGAAAGCATGAGAGCAAAATCTTACAATTTTGGACTCCTTTATTCAACTACTGGAATTACGCTTATGCTACAAAGACATGTGGGTCCTTTATTTAACTTTTCAATACTACCGATTAGTTTGGAGTTTTTCAAGTCGTAGCTGGAAAAGATCCCACTTTAGCAAAGTTTCACGCAACTTTCTTCGAAACAAGAACAGTTTACTTCAGTGCTTCACGAAGTTGTGTTAACGTGGTCATTACTATTGCAGGTTCTTCGTAACTTCAAGCATAGCGACGATGCTTAGGCGCCATAAAATCTTCGCACTGCACCCACTCGAGTACGGCGTTCTCCGGTTTGCTCCCTTCCACTGTAAACATTGATGTGCACTCGCCAGAGGCCTGCGAAAACAAATCAAAAATAAATTAGTATGACAAGTCACACATACGTAAATAGGAGCTGAACCAGCCATTTATAAAGGGCCTCGCCTATTGCAACACCAATGCCTACGACACCTGAAAAAAAACGATGAAGCGCATCGGTCATTGTATTCTCATTGATTTAGGTCTGTACATAATAACTGCATATATAGGACAGTTTGATTTGTACTACAGCATATTTATCAGAACTACCCAAGAGTGATCATTTCAGCTTCGCCTGGGGACATTTTTTGAGCCAGACTCTGTGATTGTTTGAATATCTGTGGTTTTGCTGTTAGCTACACCACGCATGATTAGTATGACGTGAAGCTCTTAAAAACACGGGATATTCGTACTTCATGAGCGCATTGCACGTATCGTCATTATGACTCAAATCGATGACTGGGTGAATTGCGTGGTCGGGAAGCGGATGAGCATGATGAGTTACAATTTATTAACATTTTTATTCTAAAGAGAATTCATTTAGGTTAAGCAACGTTAATTATATATAGGTGGATGCCCTGCACTACAGAAGTACACAGGCGATGACGACATTGCTAAAGGAAAATACATTTACATGAATTGACTGATAAAGGTAAGGCCATTGTCGGTGCCAAGCGAGCATGTGTGTAAACAGCATTGCGGTGCCATAAGACAGTTCACGTACGTGCTTCTTCCTTGTGATTTTCTAGTATTTGTCTTAGACTTCTTTCGTGGGATGTGTGTATAGACTCATACAAGTATATTCCTTGTGATGTTCGAAACCATAGATTGTAAAATGAAAATGTTCACCTTGGGGGTGACGGCTTTGCATTTAGCGGCATCAAAAGTTTCCTTGACGCTACATGAAGTTGGCGAGTAAGTAAACACAATTCTGTGCTTTGGACCCTGTAAAAAATAACAAATGCAAAGTAGAATTCACATGACATTACTCGCAAAGAAACATATTCCTATTTTTATTGGAGCAGTTCGAACTATCGTGTTCCGTGTTGAAACAAAAAATAAGGTATTTCGCATGTTATGAGCATAAGAAAAAGAGCATGACAATCCAAAGAACTAGGCAAGCCATTCACGAAAGAGCCTGATGAGGCCAGCAATATCAAGCCATAATGATGCTTGTCGATGATTTCCTTGTAATTGCGAAAGTAAAAACTTCCCGTGTGAAGCTTGGAATGCGACCTGATAGAAAGTTTTGCGACTTGGTAATCCAAAATGTGAAAAACTGCGCGAAAAAAAAAGCTCTCTGCTGTTCAGTTATTCTTGTGTTTACATTTTTTACCATGGTGGTTTGTTTTTCACCACGAGATGTGATTGTTAATTTCAAAAGCATACTGAACCCTATGAATGACATTCACTGAATACCAGTTGTTTAAAACGTTCCTTTCGTTCAAGCCGAGAGCGTCAGACGCAAACTGACCAACGCAGAGAGAGCACAAGGGATGCAAATATTAATCACATAATGATGTCACTGATTGTAGATAGCAGATACAGTTGCCATCTTTATAGAATAATGGCATGGTTACAGTGGTGTAACTTAGCGTAACTCATGGTATCTTATACTCATATTTCAGCGTCACTTCGTGAAGGCAGTAAAAAAACGAACATGTTTAAATATTTATTGTGGAAGCCTTTCAGATGGAGGCGTGCGTGGAGGGATCAATATATCGACTAAGAAGAAAAAGACGGCAATGATTTTACGTTTCAGTTGTCCTAGAAGAATACATCACCCTATCAGAAAAAAAAAACGAATAGTGGGGATAGTGTTAACCCCCACCCACCATTATAGTGGATTAATGTAGTGGGTGAATGGTGGGAAACGCCCACCATGGCGCATGGTGAGATATGGTGGGTGCTGCAGTGCCGGCAATGCTTGAGCGCGAAATGGCGTCAGAATCACCGCGACGAGCTGCCACAAAAAATAGAAAATAATTCTATAAAAACGGTATAAGAAAAACACCCGTCCCGTAAAAAAAAACGAGGTGCCACGAAGGATCGAACGCGCAACCGGCGGATCCCCATTCGAGACACTAACTACTGCGCCATGCCAACATAAAGTTGGTTGTGTGTTAAATAGTTAGTTGACATACAAACTTACAGTTCAACTTCAGTTATGTTTTTCGTGTACATGACAGACGAGATCTGCACCTACTACTAAAAATTGCACATTTATCAAACACAAGCAACTGGTGCCTGTAACAATTGCCACTGTGTTAATTGCACCAATGCTATTTTTTATAATTCACAACTGCAAGAAAAAAAACCCAAGTGGACTGGGGAGCAGCAACAGTTTACCGGCGGGGTCTGCCAAGTTAAATATTCGTTTCGCGCTCGTTTTAAGGGGCGACCTCTGCTCACGCTTTATGACGCTTCTAGGCTCACTCCATAAATACGCCCGCCTAATTTATTTGATTGAGTATTGGGATGCTTTTCGCGCAATGTAGAGGGTGGTCGTGGCAGCGCAATGCTGTAGCTCTTTCGCTAAAGCAGCAACTACATAACGGCTTGGCCAAACCGAATGCAGTGTCTGGGAAACACTACGCTATCATATTGGTTCCCCATGCATACGAATTGCCACATCTGAGTTCTCGCACAAAAGCTAGAGAAGTGGCGGCGAGTGTGACCGGCGGCTGTCGGTGAGAAGAGACGTACGTTCTCTGGGAATGCTTGAATCGCGTCGCATCGATGTTTGTTGCTTCTTGAGCGGACACCATACACAAGGAAAAATGCTTCATTTAGGTTAATTGATGCCATGGCTGCGCTGTATTGTCATTTTTATTCGTCGAAATCGTGCATTCTGAAACCCGGAAGCACGGATAACACAATTGTACGGGCTCGGTAGATAGGCCTAAGCTTTGGTGGGAATCATGGTGGTAGAACATGTAGTGTACAGATCCCAGCTTGGTATATAAATTGCCCACCATTATATGCCCACCCATCATCTGCTTACTGCTTCCCAGCATTATCGCAGTGGTGGGCGGAGCTTCTTAGCTTGGTACACCACGTGGCCCACCATAACAAGCAGCACCCATCGTCTGCTTAGTGCTTCCCAGCATTATCGCAACTGTGAGAAGAGTTTCTCATCTTGGTACACCATGTGGCCCACCATAATAAGCACCACCCAACATATGCTTAGGGCTTCCCAGCATTATCGCAATGGTTGGCAGAGTGTCCCATTATTGCCCACTATCTAGCCTCTGCTTTCCACCATCATTTCCACTTTACCCATCATCTGTACGTCATACCACCCAGTATGTCCCGGCATATCCACCATATTTTCCCCTACGTCCCACCATATCCATCATAATTTCCACCATGCCCACTATTGTTTCCCCTACGCCCACCATGTTTTCCAGTACCCACCATGGCAATTTTTCCGATAGGGCTGAGACTCTTTGTGAGTTTAAGAAGAAAACCTGAAATGCTTCATCAAATGCGAATACTGAACGTTGTCTTCTAACACGCACAAAAAACTGACAGGGTCTTTTGAGGGTCACTTAAGAAAACTCGAATGTAAAAACTATCTTTTTCTACTCAGTCACCTTCCCCGACTACCTATTTATTTATTTATTTATTTAAATACATTAAGAGCCAAGAGGGCATTACATAAGGGGGGATACATACAAGAGGTTACTATAGCATCAGTAAGACAACATGTCAGGGAGTAATACTAGTAATCAAACTGACCGATAGCCCAAGCAACATTACTAATAACACAATAAGCAAAAAACACAGTAAGCAGCTCACCATAACAGGAAACATATTTCAAGAAATAGCAATAAAGATTCTCTAAGCATGTGTTACACAATAAATGTCAATGGTGGTTACAAATTATTGTCAACTTCTAAGTAAGTTAGTACTGCAGACTGGAAAATGGAGGGTTCTGTATTAGCGACGATGTTTGAGGGCAGCGCGTTCCACTCGTTAATGGATAACAGCAGAGGTGAAAATTGGTATTTCTTAGTGCGTGAATATATTGGATTGACCTTATGTGCATGACCAACGCGATCAGAAACGTAGGGAGCCGGGTGAATGAATGATCGGGAAAATGACGAGTCACTATGATATAAGTTATGGAAAAAACATAGGCGGGACAACTTTCTGCGCGTGGCAAGCAATGGAAGGTTCAGAGAACGCTTAAGACATGTTACGCTTTGGTGGCGAGAATGACAGGAGGTGATAAACCGAGCTGCTTTATTTTGTACCGATTCTAGCATATCAGATAACATTGCCGTGTGTGGATGCCAGATGGTTGACGCATACTCTAGTGAAGGCCTGATCAGAGCTTGATATGCCTGGCGTCCGACTGAAGTCCACACCCAAACTTGATCCCCTGGATGATATTCATTTTATCGATGGCGAGCGTTGTAGCGGCATGCGTCTGTACTCTGCTGGTGCGTAAGGTGTGCTAAGTGGCGTGCTTCTTCGGCATACTGGGTAAGCTGCGCAGCGTCAGGAGTGATCAAAGCGTCACAACTGTGTGAAAGCATCGCATCCAGCATGATCTCGACCTCGCGTCCATAGACAAGACGAAAGGGCATGAATCAAGTAGTTTCCTGGACGGCAATACTGTACGCGAATGTGACGTACGGAAGCACCTTGTCCCAGATCTTATGCTCGACATCTACGTACATGGATAACATGTCAGCGATGGTCTTGTTGAGTCGCTCTGTCAAGCCGTTGCTCTGCGAATGATATGCCGTGGTCTTGCGATGGCTCGTGTAGCTGAGCTTGAACACGTCATGAATGAGCTGGGCCGTGAATGCTGTTCCTCTGTCAGTGATCACGCACGACGGGGCGCCATGTCGAAGAACGATTTGGTCCATAAAGAATTGGGTGAAGTCGGAAGCCGTTGCGCGTTGTAATGCCTCAGGTCGCTGTACCTCGTCAAATAGTCGGTGGCTACTACGATCCACTTGTAGCCGGCAGATTAGCGGAGAGGGCCCCAGTAAATTTATTCCTATTTGATCGAATGGCGCTCTAGGTGGTTATATTGGTTGAAGAAGCGCCGCGGGCTTCAGTGGCGGGAATTCGCGACCTTGACATTGCCGGCAGCCTTTCACGTATTGCTTAACCGGTGCGGAAAGCTTAGGCCAGTAGTACACTTGTCGAACTCGAGCGAGAGTTCGAGAGGAAGCCAAGTGACCACATTTGGGCTCAACGTGGCAGGCGAGAAGAATGTCGTCACGCATGCCAGTTGGCACAACTAGAAGATAGGTTCTTTCATTGCCGTTAGAGTTTTTTTTACATAGAACCCCATCTCGCAGACAGAACGACGACAGACCTCGAGAAATATATCGAGGTATGGAAGAGTTGCGTTCTTCAAAGTTTTCGATAACTGCGTGAATGTCGTCATCCGTGCGCTGTCGTGTAATCAAATCTGTGTTAGTAAGGGCCCCAATGAAACCACCATCTTCATCAGTGTCATGGCCACAAACTTCGACAGGTGCACGGGACAATGAATCAGCATCTTCGTGCTTGCGATCCGATTTGTAAGCAATCGTGAAATCGTATTCCTGCAGACGAAGACTGCATCGAGCCAGTCACCCACGCGGGTCTCGTAGGTTGGCTAACCAGCACAACGAATGACGATCGGTCACTACCTTGAAGTGGCGTCCGTAAACGTAAGGCCTAAATTTTATCGTGGCCCATACAGCAGTGAGACACCCTTTCTCCGTTGTGGAGTAGTTGACCTCGGCGAGGGAAAGAATGCCGCTAGCGTACGCTATCACTCACTCTGTGCGCTCTTGTTGTTGGACGAGGACAGCACCAAGACCCATGTTGCTGGCGTCAGTATTAATTTCAGTATCAGCGTCTTGGTCAAAGTGAGCGAGGACTGGTGGTGTCTGCAAACGCTCCTGTAGTTCAAAGAAAGCTGCGTCTTGTTCTTC